TTTGCTATCGGGGTTGGGTTTTCGTCGCTTGGCAGCGATGTTGTAAAACAAGCCGATCACTTCGTGAGCTCGGCAACCAGGTTACCGCTTTTTTCTTGCCTTTGGTATGCGGTAACCAAGCATGGTGGTCAGGTAGATTATGTTGTGCGGGGTCGAGAACTCTCACTCCGCGCAACGGGGATGATCGCACCACGTTGTATTGAATTGGTCACGCACTTTCCAGGCAGATACACAGTGCTTAGAACTGTCTCTGGAAGCGAAAGCCTCAGAAAATAAACCAAGTCGTACGCAGCTGTCATCCGTACGCAAGGAAGTAAGCACAAGATGCCGAAAACCCTTAGCAGGATGCAGCGCACCCTTCATGCGACTCGCCGAATATCTCACGGCGCTTCGCGCTTGGTGATGTGAGAGCCTGGTCCGGTGAGAACCCGGCGTGCTCCGTCCCGGCTCTGTAGGGATGCGAGGTCAATGGTCTAACGACTATAATAATAATACGACATGCACGACTTTGAGTACACCTCCCCTATCTGGTACATCGTGCGGGGCACTACATACATCATTGACTATTCCTGTGAAAATAATGGACGACTGCAGGTCAACTCTCAGAACTGGGAGAAGTTTCCTAGCGTTTACTGCTCTGCCACAAGTGTCGGTACATGTTTCAGTCATGTGGTAGGACGAAGCGGATTCCCTATGGGCACGGCACATCACACGCATGTTGCCAACGAAAACAAGCCCTCCGCGTTCATGACTGCTGCAACTTTCATGTCAGTTTTCATGCACGCAGCAGTGTGTCTGCACCAATCAATGCATACATATTTTTTCCAACAAAACAAGTGTTTTGTTACACAAGGGTCGGGGAGGTGGAGAACAATGCTGCTGCGGTGCTGGAGGAAGATCTCCTATGATAAAAGGGGTACTGCTGTAATGTGTGCCTTGCTTGGCTCTGTGGCGTATGTGATGCTCTCTTCCGCTGCCGTTGCCGCAAACTCTGCAGTAGACTTCGCAGCACTCATCATGAGAAAATGTCCTTGTTTAGCATCTGCCCTTCGTTGTGTGAGCACTCTCTCGTGAGTGTGTCCTGCATCCGTCATCTGTCATACCTTGTCCTTGATGAAGTTGGTGTAGCGGGCCGCGTCTACGCCGGCATCAACCGACATGGACATGGTGCGCTTGGTGGCAACAGCGTACGTCGGAGGCGACGACCTCGCCACCATCATCCTCAAGAAGCTACCGCCGCTCCTGGCTGTCACGGTCATGCTCTCCACCGTCGCAACTCCGACCACCACGCCCAGAAAACTCGTCCTTAGGCCCCTGCTACACATCTTCTCCCTTGCTATCTGTGCTGATCTGTCTGCGCGCGTGCGCGCGTGTTCTTGCTAGGGTTGGCGGGTGGCGGGACTGTTCGGGAGGTGGGGGCTTCGTGGGATCGAAAGTGTTCCGCCGCACATGAAGAAGACACAGCAGCACAGCAGGTAGGCACGCAGGGCAGCACACCGCGTTTATGTGCTCGCGCCTCTGCCGAAGGTGAAGGGGTTGCTTCAGTCCACGTGGAACTGAGAGGAGAGAGTTACAGCACAGCGCTGCCTTTTTCCGAACGAACGGAAGCTGGAAGCGAGAAGGATACAGAATGGCGGGAATCATGAACGAGGACGGGCTGGAGGGAAGCCTCCGCGAAGCAGCTGCTCGGTGTGGCAACGCGAGGAAGAAGAAGGTGCACGTGGGCGCAGCGATCATGCCGGATTATCTGAACCAGCATTACGATCCCTACAGCGCCGTGCTCAATAGAGGTAATTTTTGGAACGTCGTAGAACATCACGAACCTGCTGTCTGTTGGCACATTGAACTTGGCGGTTTAGCGTCTACGGGCCTTCTCCTTGAGCTCTCCCGAACATTCCAAGCGCCTTGCCGTAAGAGTCGGAGATATGGCACCCCCGTGTAAGCGTTTTTTTGTAGCGTATTTCTCCACAACTAGGATGGTGCGGACACCAACCGATACCTCTCAGGAAAGCCCTCGACGAGATGTTTCCAAAACTACCCTTTTCGGCATGGTACCCCCCTGGTTGTGGAGGAATACGCTATACACAAAAAACGCTAACACGGGGGTGCCATCTCTGTGGCCCCGGTCGCCCCGCTGGTCTAATGGTATCCACGTAATCCGCCAGTCGCAGAGGTCAAGAGTCCGAATCCCCATGGGGTTGACAACTTACGAATGTGCGGGTGAAAGCGATATATAGCTGAAAAGCTCTCGTGAGTACCAAACTTCGACGTTAGCACCGTTGACGAGGGAAAGGGACGGCTGGACCCTTCTCGCGATAAAATAAAATTCAGCACGCAACGCAGGAGGTAGGTGGGGCATGAAAAGAAATAAAAAGCAGAAACAAGCCCTGGTGCTTACCCCCTCCTGTGTGACCCTGGATGGTTGTAGTTGTACGAAAAAATACACTGAAAGGTGTAGTGCTCTACATACGCTGAGTTGTACGAAAAATTACACTGAAGTCAGTACACTACATACGCTGAAAAGTGTAGTAAATATACGTCTCACCACGGAAAATGGGGGGACTGTCGCCATAATAAATAGGACGAAAACACACAACACACATCTCTCCGACTCTTGCGGTAACCTGCTGTTGCACGTGATGCAACCAGGAAAAGGGGGGATGAATCATCTACGACGAGCGCGTTATTTGTTTTTGTTCCGACAATTATGGGGAAGGAGTTTCGTGGCGACCAAGGCGGTATGTTTCTCCGCGCTGGGCGAAGATTGCTCACGCGCCTTTTCCTCTCTCTTTCTCTCGCATACACACAGACACACACACACAACCGACAGCCAGTTTCAGACGCGAAGAAAGCAAGACACAACGAATAATAGTGGGAGGAGAGGCGGGGCGAGACCGCTGTCTCCTACATGATCGATTCTTCACTGCTGGATGCACACTGGGCAGCATGATGGTGCTCGGTATTTTGCGGGTGATCGCCGTGTCGATCCCTTAATCACGATGTTCGTGCTGGCCATGCCGAGGCGCGTCGTCATGGACCACCGTATTACCCGACCGTATCTTCCGTGCATGGTGCCCCCTTGGCGGACTACCTTCGCGAGGATTCCATTGTCAATCAACTATCTATGAAATAGAGGAGAGGGTTTCGCGCGTCCTTATCCCTAACCCGACAGGTAAACCCCCAACCCCACCCCGCACACCCTACAAAAACCCAAGCTTACCGTCGCGACCATTGCTACTGCTGTTGGCTGTTGGCCCCTAGGGGTATCCGTTCGTTCCCGGGTTGGGGCGGAGGGGGGGGGGGGATATCTCCACCTAACCGGGTGGTCATATCGTCTTTGTCGTGTCGTCGTCAGTCAAGTTCTTCCAGGGCGGGCTAGCAATGGCGCTAGAACGATAAGAGGGCTAAGAGGCAAGCCCGACGAAGCCACCGGAACGGGAGCGGGAGCAGCAACAGGGAGTCTCGGAAATCAGTAGCAAACTTAGCAATGGCCCGGGCGCGTCTGGCAGAAGGCATGCTTCGAGACGCTTGCCACCATCCCCTTCGAGACGAAGGCCACCATCCCCTGTGTAGTCTGCTTGAGGCAGCTGAAAGCGCCGTTTAATTGGTGGGGTGCAGCGCATGCAGCTCGCCGACAGACGATGGTTCTCTGTTCGGTACATACGTGCAACAGCTTCACGGAGTGGTGGTGCTGCCTCCGGTCGTGTCGTTTTTACAGCAACATTGGCCGCCATATCACCTAGCGTTCCTGAATCCTGAATCTACTTCCGAATCTGCCGGAGCGGCAAACCGCGACAGCAAATCCGAGAAGATGACATTTCCGCTGATAAGCAAGGCCTTTTGCCGCCACCCGCCCCCGATCCTTGTAGTGGGCTGAAAAGGCGGGAAGAGACATCGATAGAGAAGAACCTTTAGCAAAGTAGGAAGGGACGATTGGATATCGGTGATCGGTCCTGTGGGCACAATGCTCGGTCCTCTCGACGGTGCGTGGTCAACGGTCTAACCGCTAAGGCATGCGAAACATGAGAGTACGCTCCCCCGACCCCTTCCCGTTCCCCTCTGCCTGTCCTTCTCCGTACACCTCAACCTGCGTCGGTGCCTCCGTCCCTTCCCGAAAATGTTCTGCTGGCAGAGTTCAATAGCGTCGTCATCGAGCACCACATGAAGTGGAAGCCTTTGCTCGTCGGCGGTGATGAGGTACAGCATGTCATGTTGCGCGTCGTTCCGGTCTTGATGACGTCACACGCGCGATACCGTCAATATCGCGATGGCAGATGGGGTGGATAGCAGGACCTCCGCAGCAACCCAGAAGTAGTTTTGCATGTTCCGTTGCTTCTAAATTGTACTAGTTCCACTTTTTTTTTTTTTGCGGAATATATGCAGATTAGGGTGGATGGCAAGGGTCAGTCCGTCAGTACCTGAGAGTGACTTTTACGTGCACCTTTCGCTTCGAAATCTCTGAATTGTACGGTAGAGGTCCCTGTTTAGTCCCAGTTGAATAGTGCCGGTTGCCGGTATCGTGCCGGTGTTTTTGGCTCACACACACTGGAATATCACGTCGTTCTGTACTTTGAATAGTGCCGGTGCCCGGTATAGTGCCGGTGAAATTTTTGCGCACACCCCGGCACTAAACAGGGACCTCTACTGTGCCACGTTTTGCAGGGAGTGTACGACTTCCGTCCTTGCGACAAGATCGTGGACTGGGCGATCGACAAGGGCATGGAGGTCAAGGGGCATACCCTCTGCTGGCACGTCACGACCCCCGACTTCGCCGAGGACATGTCCGCCTCTCGCCTCCGAGAGGCCCTCTACCGGTGGGCCTACAAGGACTGCTGATGTTGCACATCGCTTCCACTCATTCGTATTGTCGCCGTTCGGCTTTGGTTTTGTTGCCTAGAGAAATGTGGCGGTGTGCTCCGACGCACGTTGTGTTTTTTGTCTTCTGGCGTTGAAAAGAGTGCAACCATCCGTCAATATGCGGTACTAACGCCCGCACGCGCAAGGACGAGAAACCTATGCGGCGGGGAGGTTGTGGTCTAGTCTCCTGGACCTACGATCGCCAGTCCGAACGCTTCGAAACAATCAGTTGCCAGTTGAAAACAACACCCAAAGCGACGAACATTGTTGTCACTAACAAAAACACACGTCGAATGCGACAAACATGGTTCTCAATGAAGAAAACATTTTGGGGAACACATGGTAGCTTTCAATGAAAAGCAGACTTTCGATGACCGAAAACGCCATCGACAGGCACATCCGCACGACGATGGGGCACTTCTACGGGAGGGTGGGCTCCTGGGACGTGGTGAACGAGGCCCTGTCCCAGGACTGCAGCGGGAGGATGGAGGACAACGTCTTCCTCAGGAAGCTGGGGCCGGGCTACGTCGACGACTGCTTCAGGGTGGCGCACCAGGTTGAGTTGCTGTAGTCAGTCCGCGCTAGGATGACGACGCCACAAGTAAAGATGTGGTTTGTGTTTCTCGCGCTATGATAATGGAAGTCACGAATATGATGTGGTTGTGTTTCTCGCGCTAGGATGATGACGTCACGAGCAAAAATGTGATTGTTTTCGCGCTGGGATGATGAAAGCACGAGTGAAAATGTTGTTCTCGCGCTATTGTGACGTCACGAAACAAGTGGGAATGTTCTCGCCCAATTTTTAGCATGACGTCATGAAAAACGTTGTGGTTGTTGTCGCGCTAGGATGATGACGTCACGAATAAAATTGTGGTTGTTCTCGCACTACAAAGGATGGCGTCGCGAAAAACATTGAGTTGTTCTTGCGCTACAAGTATGACGTCACCACAAACGTTGGGATTGTTCTTACGCGAAAATGATGCCATCATGAAAAATAGCGTGCATGTTCTCCTGCGTTGGTTGAGGAATCTGCCGGAAGCTTCTCGCCGTGTGAAAATGCTCGACGTAGTGCAAGGTGTGTGTGTGTGGGGGGGGGCGTACTCTTATGTTTTGCATGCCTTAGCGGTTAGACCATTGACCACGCGTCCTCGAGAGGACGGAGCATTGTTCCCACAGGACCGATCACCGGTGGCCAATCGTTCCTTTCTACTTTGCCGAAGGTGGCTAAAAAATGTCTTCCCTAGTCCATCCTAACGATATCCCTTCCCGCCTTTTCAACCCACCTCCTATGCCCCACTACAGCTACCGTCCTTTGCTCTCCATTCCATGCCTCAAACATCTCCCTGTACGTCCCATCTATTTTCCCCAGCTCAGTCACGTACACTTCCCTCTCCTTCTTGTACCACGGACATTCCGCGGCTACATGAACATGGTCGTCGCATTCGATTCCGCAATCACATTTGAACTCGTCGTCTTCGTCGTCTACCGTCCTATGTCTTCGTCGACGTTCTCGAAGGCCTATGTCCCCGGTCCTGAATTTGACCTTAAGCTTTGTTCCTGCATCCATTGGTCCATGTAGGTAATCCTTGAACCCTATTCCTTCCTTCAACATTCCGTACACTTCTAGACCCTCCTTATCCTTGGATTCTTTCCTCAGATTCTGTTCTTCTCTCTCGGCACAAGCAACAGATATCTTCTCCTTGAAACCCTGTAGACCCTCCGTTTCCAGCGTTTCATCTTCGTCGATGTCGAGCCCCTTCCATACGTCCTCTACAACCTTGACCCATTCCGTGGGTTGTCTACCCCTCTTTTTGTTTGCCCACTTCGCCTCCCATACAATCCTCGGCAACCTCTCCTCTCCCATCCCGCACATGCGACGCTGTAATGTCAGCTTCCTCGCGTCTCTTCCCGACTGTAGGGGTTAAATCCCCATTTCTGCCCTCACGGCTGCATTACTTGTGCGCTTGGAGCATC